GCTAGGCTCCCTGCCACCCAGCCCAGCATCCTGCTCAGCTCCGGCATCTCCATCTCTGCTGGGCTCCTGCCTGCCTCTTTATGCAGTCAGTGGGGCGGGGGACGGTGGGAACGGGCTGGGCCAGTGGTTCTGGGGACAATGCATCTCCTCCTTCCTCCCTCATTCCTGATTCGGTCTGTGACAACAGGTGCCACTTGAATGTCCCAGAGGAAGCTGGGTGTTTCCCCACCTGGCTCCTTTCCTTGAGCTCCAGGGCCCTTCTTGACACAGGTGTCCTGGCTCTCAGCTCACACCTGGGGTGTGTGGGGAGGTGGGGGACAGCCTTGCCCCTCCTAAGCTCCATGCACTAGGCTTAGGAGCACCTTCCCCTCTGGGGTCTCAGTGGCCCCATTCTCTGTCTCTCTCTCTGTCTCTCCAACAGACACACTAGAACCTCTTTACCCCCTCTGAGGACCCCAGCAACCTACTCCATGCATTCCCGTATCTTCCTCACTCCTTCTGACTTTTCCAGCTTCCACAGGCACCAGTTCTCCCCTGCTGTCACTCATGCCCTCTGCTGCCTCCCGAGTCTACACTTGTGATTATCCTGGGACCCACCCAGATAATCCAGGATAATCTTATTATGTTAAGGTAGGCTAACACCTTAATTTCATCTGCAATCCCAGTTTCCTTTGTTAGGCAATTTACAAATTCCAAGGATTATATTGGGCAGCACAGTTCTGCTCACCACAGGTGGTCTGTCATGATCATCTAATCTAAGAGTTACAGAGCCACAGGTAAGGTCAGGGTCATAGGGCCATGGTGTGCTCATGGGTGTCGGGAGACTAGAAACTCATGAACTACTTTACCTACTTTTAAATAATGACCGTGGTTTGGAGGCTATTTCAGTGTGTCCCCAAGGGGTCATGTGCTGAGGCTTGGTTGCCGCTGTGACCAAGCTGATAAGTGGTGAATCACTGGGGCCCAGTGCAAGTGCGTCACTGCAGGGATTGATGGTGGTCTTGGAACTGAATCAGTTTTTGTGAGGGTAAGTTGCAATGAAGATACAAGCTGACCCCCAAGGCCTCTGGCCTCCTGGCTGGACACAGGGTATCTCCTTCTGGAACATGCTTCCTCCGTAATGTAATCACAAGGTGGTGATGCAGCTGAGGGACTCCCACCGCAGCTGAGCAGATAGCAGCCCCATGCTCTTGAACTTCCAGGAGTGTGAGCTAAGCAAAGCTCTTTACTACCCTGCCCCAAATATTTAGTCACAAAGGCGGAAAAAGAGCAAGTACAAACACATTTGAAATTAATATAAGAATATACTTTGAATCATGGTGTGATGGAGGAGTCGGTGGTTGGGGTCTCACTGGCAGGGGGAGCGGGGGAGTATCGTATCAGATATTTTCCCTGCCTAGCTTGGTTGAGCTTCAGCAGATTTCAAAATGGCTGGCAGTAAGACTAAGAAGGACTCCAGAAAGGCCAACACAAAGGCAGTTCCCTGCTTGCAGAGAGCCGGGCTGCGGTTCCTGGTGGGTTGCATTCACCGACACTTGAAATCCAGGATGATCAGCCATGGACGGCCGTGACCACTGCTGTACACAGTGCAAGCATCCTGCAGTACTTCACCATAGAAGTACCTGAGCTGGCAGGAAATGCAGCAAAAGACTTAAAGGCAAAACACATTACCCAGTGTCACTTGCAACTGGCTATTTGTGGAGATGAAGAATTGGACTTTCTCATCAAGGCTACAATTGCTGGTGGTCGTGCCATCCCACACAGCCACAAGGCTCTGACTGGGAAGAAAGGACAACCGAAGACTACCTAAAAGATGCCTGGGTTCCTTAATATCTCAGGACTCTAAGACTCTGTCCGTTGTTGGTGATTCCAATGGACTGTATCTCTGTGAAAAACATGATTTTGCCTTGTTTGTAATTCTATTTGAGCAAGTTAGAAGTTTAATTGACTTTCCAAATCAAATTTTTGTGTTCAAATCTTACCCATATGTAAGTGTTATGGTGGCTTCAAAGAAGCTATTGATTCTGAGGTAATGGGTTTTGAATGAGTTGACTGGTTTTTAAAAAACTGGATTTTAATTGTGATGTAGAAATTACAGTAATAAACTTTGATTTTGTTCAGGCATTATTTCCACCCAGGTGAATAAGCTCAGTAAGGGTCATCTCCCAAACTTAAAAAAAAATAATATAACAAACAGTGTTTTTAGAGGTGGGCATTTGGCTTCCCTGTAAGAGGCTGGTTAGGACACTCATGTCCCATTGCAGTGCCTGGCTGAGTGCCTGCTCCAGCTCCCGAGTCCTGCTTCCTGCCAATGTGGGTCTTGTTAGGTGGTGATGACAGCTCAGGTAGTTGGGCTCCTTGTCGGCTTGAGATTCTGACTTGGACTGGCACACTGACAACTGGGGATGCTTAAGGAATGAGTCAACCAATAGAAACTCTTTCTGTGTGCCTCTGTGTGTTTCCTTTGAAATAAAGAAACATTTTTTAAAAAACATTTATTTTTATTTTTATTAGAAAGTCAGATATACAGAGAGGAGAAGAGACAGAGAGGAAAGATCTTCCATCCGATCGTTCACTCCCCAAGTGACTGCAATGGCCAGAGCTGAGCCACCCCAAAGCCAGGAGCTTCTTTTAGGTCTCCCTTGTGGGTGCAGGGTCCCAAGGCTTTGGGCCATCCTCGACTGCTTTCCCAGGCCACAAGCAGGGAGCTGGATGGGAAGTGGAGGCTGCTGGGATTAGAACCCAACTCTGCTAATGCACCTGGGAGACAGCAAAGGGTGGCTCAAATACTTAGGTTCCTGCCACTCCTGTGAGAGACCCAGATGGTCCTGGCTCCTGGCTTTGGCCTCACCCAGCCTCAGCCATTGTGACTACTGGGGATTGAACCAGTAAGTAATTCTCTCCATCTCTTTGTCCCCTATTTCGCTCCTCTTTCTCTGTGCCTCTGTCACTCTGCCTTTCAAATACATATATACATTTTAAAAGATATTTTTAAAATAAAAATGTAAAATAGAAAGGTGTTCTGATGGCCTTGCTCTCTCCACTGCTGCTGGTGGCCCCTGTGAGCCCCTCTTGGCTGGTCACTGACTCTCTCACCCCCAGCCCCTGCCCCAGCCCCTAGAAGGTGAGGAGTTTCCTTCAGCAGCTGGCCAGTAGGTGGCCAGCAGTGACATTTTTGGGTGACATCACTGGGTTTGCAAAAGCTTTGAACCTGTTTCACACCAGACTAGAGGAGTCCCTACCTCCAAGAGCATTCCCCATCCACCCCTGCCCTTGGTTGTTGTCCAGGGAGCAGACACTGGACTGTGAGGACAGAAGCAGCACTGGTGCAGATTGGTGCAGGGGAGAGGGTTGCTTGGGGAAGGGGGATACTGAGAGGGCACCTGGACTTGGGGAGAGGCCCTCTCTACAGAGTCAAGCACAGTCCAGTCTGCCCTCTGGGGATGCTGGCCATCCTTGGCCTCAGCCTCCCTGTTCCCTGTCTCCAAGATGTCATTGGAAGGGCCCTCCCTTCACTTGGCATCTTCTCTCCTGTCTGGAGGCCACCACCCCTTTTCGCCTGGAGGCATTGCCAGCCATATTATCCCTCAGCCAGAGCCACAGTTGAAGGTCAGGTGTGCCGCAGTGTGGCCGTGGAGAGGACGCTGTGGGCTGGGTCCTGCTGTGGACCGAGACCTTGCCATGTAGGCCGCTGAGTCACCAGGCTTGACTGTGCTCCCTGCTTGGCTCCCAGCCTCTGTTGCTCTCCACACCCCCAGCTCCCAGTACAACACCCACCCGGGCTCCTACTCAGCCACCAGGAATCCTGCTTGGGCTGTTGTGGCCCAGCCTTGCCAGGCTTCCAGTTGTTCCAGAAACCCTGGAAATCGGCACATGGAACTCTCAGAGAGGAGGGTACCTAGAAGGTGAGGGACAAGGATGGTCCCAAGGGCAAGGAGCCCCGCTGGGGAAGGGGAGGAGGTGATGAGGGCTTTATGTAGAAGAAAGAGGAGAGAGAGAGGACTCCCTGGGGCAGTGAGAGGGAGAGGTGGGAGGAAAGGCATGCAAGACCAGGCAACCTCTGCTTTTTTTTCCACAAGGATTTATTGTTTTTCTCCTTCGTAGGAGGAGCTGTAGGTGTGAGAGCAATTCTAGGCCAACATACAAATGAAAAGGTGGGGTGAGGGGAACCTGGGAGCGTTGAGAGGCACAGGAGGAGTACCATCTAGGTCTCCAGGGGAGCCCAGGGCTCCAAAAAGGAAAAAAAAAAAAGTCTAGGGTGAGTTCACACCTTTTTTGAGTCACTTGTCTGGTATCCAGAGTGGGAGCCTGCTCCATCCTCTGCTCACAAGGAAGCATGGAGAGAATTGGCAGCCAGGGAGGAAGAGGGCTGAGATGGAGAACAAACTTGGGAGGGGAGGGGTGTGCAGGAAACAGTGACTTTGTGGTGAACATCACTGTGGAAGCTGGACATGGACTTGGAATAAAGATTCAGTGTCCCACTCCATGGGTGGTTGACCAGATGGCCAAGAGAAGTCAGTGAAAGATAGTTGTTTCCAGGGCACAGTCTGAGCTTTGCTGTATTTGGCAAATGATGAGGAGAAGAGATGGCTGGTCTAAGCAGCAGAGGTACTGTGAGGGTTTCGGGGTTTCTCAAGGAGAACCTGAATGGGTGGGATCAACCACTGGAGCTCCTTGGAGCAGGGAAGTGCTCGTGTGGCCTGCCAGAGAAGGCACTGCTGTGAGGGTGGGAATCAGAACAGGAGGAGCAGAGAATGAGAACAGAAAATTGGGGGTTTCCATCTTGGAAGATCAAGAAGCAAGAGGTGATAAGGCAGAGTCTGCAACCCTGGCCACTGGTGGCTGTAGGGGTGGGAGTGCAGACAGAGCAGAGCAGTCCTCGGCAGGGAGGAGGGAAACAGCTAACTGTGCGTGTGCCTGGGACCCGAGTGTCTCCCAGCCGGGGGGTGGCATGTGTGTGTAAAGGTGTGTGCCCTCACTTGCCTTGAGCAAGAGCTGGCCTAGGGGCTGTCGCTTAGTGGCCCCTCCTGGGGCAGGAAGACTTTAGGGTCAGCCAGCTGGGGCCCCAGAGGCTTCACTCGGGCCAGGAGGTTCCGGATGGAGCGGCAGGGAATTTTCCCAGCACTTTTGGGGCCGCAGGGTTTGGCCCCAGCAGAGGGGTCAGGCTGGGGAGCACCGTTGGGACCACCGCTCAAGGTGGAGGAGGAGACAGAGATGCAGGGGTAACCAGATGGGACAGACTTGCTGCCACAGGGCAGCAGGATGATGGTGCCTCCGGACTGGGGGCCCGAGCCGCCACGCAGGGAGCCCGAGCTGGGTGAGGAGCAAGGCCCCTGGGAGGCGTCCCCACAGGGATGGTAGGATGAGCTGGAGCTGCTGGAAACACCTGAACTGATATGGGTTCTAGAACCTGGTGGAGAGCAGGGCCCCTGGGAACCACTGAAACCAACCCCACATGGCTGGACACCACCGGAACCCACTGGCTGGAACAGGTCGGCTGAGGACACGCCCGACTGGTAGGTGTTGGAGCTGGACGAGCTGTGGCTAGAGACGATGGGGTTTTCAGAGAAGTACTTGCCCTCAGAGATAGGAGGTCCAGCCGCAAAGGAGGGGGCCCCTGGAGAGCCCCTGACAGGATTATCTTTGGTGAAGTAGCCCACGGGGTAGATCTTGCCTCCACTGTAGGTCATGCCTGGGACCAGGTAACTGTTGGAAGAACCTCCTACCACCTCGTAGCCTCCAAAAGACTGCACAGACGTGATGGGGGGGCAGGGCTTTCCTGGGGGGCCGCCATTGCTACAAGGGGCACCTGGAAGTCCCCCGGGGCCCCCAGACCCATGCTGTTCTACCACCACTACCACGGGCCTTTTTCCTCCTGATACGGAATGGGAGCTGGAAATGTAGGGGCCATTGTGGGAGACTATAGGGCCGCCGCTGCAAGGAGAGTCAGGGACATTGGAGCTGCACGGATGCTGGCTGGAGCTGCTGGAGATCACAGAGGACTGGCCTTGTCCCGACTGGATGGTGCGAGAGGCCTCGTCGTTGGTCGGCAGAGCGGAGCCTTGACCTGGCTGGTAGACGATGCTGCCCGACTGGGAGCTGATGCTGCTTGACTGAGAGGAAATGGATGCACCTTGCAGACTGGAGCCAGATCCTGAGGAATAGCTGCTCTGGGAATACCCTGTTCCCGGCTTAAACAACAGGGAACTGCCCTGGGCGGTGCCGGAACTGCCACTGGAGAGACTGGAGCCACTGTGGCTGCTGTGGCTACTGGAGCTACTGGAGATGAAGCTGCTGGAACTGCTGGAACCACCACTGGAGCTGCCACTGGAGCTGCCACTAGAGCCCCCACTGGAGCCGCTGGAGCCACTGTGGCTGCTGAAGCTGCTGGAGCCACCGTTGCCACGGAGACAGGGGTCATTGGGGGAGGTGATGCGTGTGGGGTCCTTACAGGGGTCTAAGGAGGTGGCGATGCTCTTAGCCAAGGCCCCTGGGAAGAAAGTCATGATCAGCAAGGGTCAGAAAGCCTCCACTTTCTCTCACCTTCCAGCCCAGCCTGCGGGCCCTGATCTCTCGTGGGAATGGCAACCCAGGGAGAACCAGAGATGGACAAAGAAGGGCAAGTTGGTGGTTCTGTCCCAAGGACAGTGTCATTGTTCTGGGCCGGGGGCCAGGGCTTGGGTAGGACGAGGAGGTTAAGCTCCACTAGAAAAATAGGAAGTGGGACTCCAAAGCGGGAGGCTTTAAAGGAGCAAGCAGAAAATAAAAGGGAATGAAGCCGTGGCTGGAACAAGCAGTAAAACACAAAGGAAAAAGAGGACCCAGGGACAAAGGAGGCTACACAGTTGTTGGGGTGCTTGAGGAGAAGGCTGTGTCCCCAGCTGCCCTGTCAGAGCCTAGGCACTGCTTCCTATCTCAGTGCTGGATGTGCCGGTGGAGCAGGGCAGGAGCAAGGAGGTGAGAGAAACCACCTGTTGCTTCAGAACCTGCTGGTACCAGTGCAACAGGGCGCCGCACCCTGAGCCACCCTGCCCGGCTGGTCCAGCCCAGGGACACCGGCCCACGGTCCTGCTTGGCAAAGGCCACTGGCCAGGATCAGCTTGCCTCTCCCTGCCCACACCTACCCAAGCCCAGCTTCTGCTGCCTTCACTGCCCCGCAGCAGGGGAGCCACTGCTTGCCTTACCGACCCTCCACTCCCACGTCCCAGCTCACCTAGCCCCAGCCCTGTTCCTTGACTCTTTCACTTGGGCGTCAGGTGACAAGGTTTGTGGACAGAGCTACACACCAGCAAGTCGCAGTGACTTTGTCCCATCTTCCTCCCATCTTACTGGGAAGACTGAGATTGCAGTCTACCAGGAAAACACTTTTATAAAAACCCCAAACCTAGGAACTTGTGGGCTATCCTTGAAGCTCATCCTTAAATGCTCTACCAGCCAACCCTGCCTGGACCGACACCTGCACATCAACCTCTGACCCCACCCACACCTCTGCACAGGATCTCACCAAGGGCCCTTGTACCTCTGCTCCCCTATCCTATGGCACTCTGTTCTCCACCAGCACACAGGATCATGCAGGAACACCCCCCCACCACCACCACCACAGTTGCAAATTCCCCAGGGCTCTGCAGTGGGATTCAGCTCTGCACTGATTCTGAGCCTTTTTCCTAACCTCAGGGTCCTTCTGTGTGGGCAGGAATGACGGCTCTGCTTGCCATGCTCTCTAATGAGCCCTCGTGCTAACACATTCAGAATGCTCAGCGTGCCAGCTGGCACATTGAAGGGGCCCTAAAAAATGGTGGTGGAAGCTACTGTTGAGCAACAGCCCAATATTGCAACCACAACAGCAGCAGTAATAATGAAGCAGCCGTGGACACTTACGTACCTCCTGGAATGTTCTAAGCCAGGGCCCCTTACCTGCTTTACTCTGAGCCCACAGGCACAGCAGACAGATGTTACTATTGCCCTATTTTACAGTTTCAGAGACTGAGGCTCAGAAACTGGAAGGAACTTGCCTATGGGGAGTGGACCGATAGACTCCAGAGCCCCTAACCCCTGCCCCAGCTGGGTCCTCCGCGGGCCCTGCCTCCCAGCTACCCGGAGCCCCTGGGTGGCATCCCTCAGCCCCTAGCCCTGCAGGGCCCACAGCTGCCTACCTGGTAGAAGGAGGGCAACCAGCAGCAGTGCCGCCACCATCATCCCTCGCCCTCCCACACGCCCCATCCGGGGTGCCCGAGAGGAGCTCATTGTGGTCCGGGTGGCCTTCCGACTGAGAACAGCTGCTGGACACCCGGGGCCTTTATGCCAGGGCTGGACATTCTCTGGGCAGGAGTCACAGTGGGCAGGGGAGGAGGGGCGGAGGGGATGGGTGCCCCAGGGAAGTTGGTGTGGCCGGGAGGAGCTGAAGTAATCGGCACTGGAGCATCTGCCTACTCAGCAGCAGCCGCGGCTGCCGTGTGGGCCCCTTTGGCCCTGCCGATCCTGCCACATGCCCGCCTCTCCTGGCTTCCAGTTGCCTAACCCGGAACCAGGCACTCTGCTCTGCAGCTGTCCAGTGTGGCTGCTCTGCTCCCTGCCCCCACCAGGTTCAATCTAACTTTCCTAGCCTCCCTCTGTCCCTAGCTGTGCACTTTTCAGCTTTCCCCTCTGCACCTGGCACCTGCTCTAACCCCCATCCCACCCCATCCCACAGCCCCATCGGGGGTGCTGGTCTCTGCCTGTTTCCCAGGGACCTCATCATTTATGAACCTCTGCCCCCTGCCTGCATTGCCCAGGTACTGGCCTGCCACACACCTGCTTCCCTGCCCCAAGGGTGAGTGAAGCTTTTCCCGCTCAAAAGCTGGAAACCCGGCTCCCTGACCTTGTCTTTCCAGGAACAGGTGTGTAGGGCTCCACAGCCAGCTGGAGGGGTGAGGCCTGGCGTAGTTACTCACTGGCCCTCCCCCACCACAGTGGCCCTGCCTTGGGGGTGAGCAAGAGGCTAATGAGGCTAATGGGGAAGGTGGGGGCCCTGCAGCCCATTAGCTGGCTCCCTGGCCTTGATGAGTGAACAGGAAGCTGCAGCCGGCTTGAGTCTGACTGGGAGAAGGCCAGCACGCTGCTGGTCCCCGAGGTTGGAGCCCCAGAACCCTGCCTGGGAGTAGCCAGGAAGATGACAGTTTCCTTCTCTGGGCTCCAGCCCTGGCTCTGGCCACACCCTGGACCAGTTAATTACTCCCTGGTATTGCCACCGAGAGAGGACCAGTATCGGAGGGAGGAGGCTGGGTGGCAGGCAGGCCCGGCCCTCCTCCCCCAGGCTGGCCTCTGACCCCTCACCCAGACTCCAGATCTCCTGTCTCCTCCTAAAGTTAGCTGTCTCCTGCTTGAGCCCTCCCATTCTCTCTACCTCCTGGCTGGCTTCCACCTGCAGCCTGGCACAGTGACAGTGCAGGAAGGTTCCGTATCAGAGTTGGGTGCTAAGGAGCCACCAGTGGGACCAGTCAGCACTTGGCACCAGGAGCTAAAGTTTAGATTTTTATTTAATTCATCTAGATGGCAGCAGCCACCAGCCTTAGACGTCTGCCATCTCATGCAGCCTTGATGTCCTGCTTGTCCCCACAGTGTGACAGGGAAGGTAGAGGGGCTGTGGGAGCTCAGACAGTCCCCCCCCCAAGAGGGTGGCTGCAGAGGCAAAACAAGTAAACTTGATTTAAGGTCAGGAAGGCAAGGGTTTCACTCCCAGCCTCAAACAGCTCGCTAAAGTTTACCAGTCTTCAATTTTCCCACTCCCCTGAGGCTTAACGCCTCCTCTGCAGGAACTGATCAGAAAGAATGAATGAAGCAGGGCGTGACATTCCCAGTCTGGCCTGGGCATCTCCTGCAAATGGAACCCTGCTTGGTTCCTGTCTGTGCCCTCCACTGAAGGAGACAAACAGGACAGGCTTGCCCATCGCCCACCTCCCTCCTGAACCTGCAGCTGGCTTATCTCAGAAGCTACCTAGACCCTCTTCCCGCCTCACACAGGAGGCTGGGTGCTATTGAATGTGCAGTTGTTCCCTGCGCCCCAGTTCCCTCCATGCCCCTCCCCAGACTCTCAGGCCCCAGCTGGCCAGCGGGGGTTTTGGGGAGAAAGGAGGAGGCCCCTGGAACAGGGAGAGGCTTGGCGCAGAGGAGAGAGGATCTTTTGTGGGCTGTCATCCTGGGGCTACCCCAAGAGGGCGGGGACGCAGCAGGGCCTGTGGGTTATTCTTTTGCAGCTCAGACTCCTCATCAGCCAGAGGTGGTGTAGTCTGTGTGTTTTCTTTCTCACATTCCTCCCAGCTGCTGTCACTCCCGGCTGGGCTGGAGGAGGCACAGTATCTCTCGGCTTCCCGCCAGCCCCACAGCCACCCACGGGTATGGTTCTCCACTCTCCTCCAGTCCCCTCTGCCCTCCTCTCTCCCCCTCCTCACCCTGGACTGTTTCGTTCTGCTGCTGTCTGGTATACATCTTGGGCCAAATGAGTCACTGCCTGAAATCCTGTCTGCTTCACAGGTCAGGATCCCCTTTTCATAGCACAAGTGCCGCCTTATCCAATGTGTTTCAGTTCTGCATAATCATGATCTGAAAATATTAGATGGGAAAAGCCAGGAGCAAATAATTGTGGTGCTTTAAGTAACTTTGATTATGCTGCTCTCATTGCCCTGAGTTACTGTTTTTTTCCAGCCATGTCTAATGCATACAGTAAGCCTTGTCATCGGCATGCACGCACACCGGGGAAACAGCAGGGTCATGTGTTGCTGAGCAACACAGATACATCCCCAGGTCAGCCTCGCTGAGTGGTCTCGCTGTGATGCCATACAGCTATGTCCCTGGGCCGTGACACCTAAAGGAACCACCAGCCATGTCCCTCAGCTGTGACACTTGAAGGAACTGCCATTTGCCATTCAACTTTGCTGTGTCTCTCATGTCACCACTAAGTTTTCTACTTAAGGAGGGACAGCTGAAGCCCATGGGCTAAGGAGGTTGACACAGGGTACAGGCTGGTGCCCATGCAGGCCAGGGTGGCCCTCTGGGAAGCTGATTGGTTTGGTAATGCCCACAGAGGTACAGGAGGCCAGGTGAGCCACATTCCACAGTGCCAAGTCTGCCCCTGCCAGTAAGGGCCCTGCCCGATCGATGGACTGGGTGAGAGAGTGTGGGTGGCAGGGAGCAGCCACCTCCCAGGGACAGCCAAGCTCCTGACAGAGTCCCTCCTGGGCCAGAGCTGAGGACCCTGGTGTGTGTGTGTGTGTGTGTGTGTGTGTGTGTGTGTGTGTGTGTGTGTGGTGTGTGCAGGGCACATGCTCACAACCTTATGTGGGCATTGGCTCACCAGGCACGCTCCTGTGTTGGGCAGAGCCTTTGGCAGCCAGGATGACAAAGGCAACGTGCAGCCCACATAGAGTGGAGGAGAGACTTTAAGGGGTGACAGGAAGAGCCAAAGGCCAGCCCATGGTGCTGCCCGTGGGTATCTGAAGAGCAAACGGGAGACCTGGGTTTGCTTGGGACTCACATGCAGAGGCACAGCAGGTGGACAGATGGGCAGACTGCTGGGGACAGCCTCTGACTCCAGCCTGACGAATCTGGATTTGATGGAAATGGAGTAAACGCAGAAGGGCAAAGCTCCTTTTGATGGGGAGAACAGAACGACTGTACAGATGCCAGGGCGAGAGAAACCTCATTGATTGACTGCCCCAGTGTCACGCATGTGTATCTGTCCACTGCTGTCTTGGTTAATCCCCACAACATCCCTGCAGGCCAAATGAATTTGCTTCCCATTTCACAGATGAAGAAAAGGGAGTTTAAACTATTTGTTTGGGACACTAACAACATGGTTCAACAGGCTAATCCCCCTGCAACACCAGAATCCGATACGAGCACCGACTTGTGTCCTGGCTGCTCCACTTTCCATCCAGCTCCCTGCACATGGTCTGGGAAAACAGTGGAGAATGGTCCAAAGTATTGGGTCCCTGCACCCGCATGGGAGACCAGGAAGAAACTCTTGGCTTTCAGCTTTGAATTGGCTCTGCTCCAGCCATTGTAGTCATTTGGGTAGTGAACAAACTAATGGAAGATTTCTCTCTCTCTCTCCTCTTTAACCCTCCCTTTTGAGTAAAATAAATGGATCTTTCAACTTTACTTGTCCAAATCAGCTTTTACTGAGCAAAGAACTTGGAAAAGACGCAGATCTGGTCCATTCAGACTCCCAAGGCCGTGGGAATGCCCTGACCCTGTGCAGCTGGCTTGCCCACTCCTGCAGCTCTCTCCTCTGCAGTTTCACCCACATGCTGAGAAGCCAGCATCTGAGTCCCTGGAGGAGATCTGGGGCTTAACTTGGGGATGAGCAAAGACAGGGAAGGTAAAAGCTGGGAGCTGGGTGTGTGGTGATGGCAGAGTGGGCAGAGGCTACCAAGCCCTTAGCTGTGTCTTCATTTCCATGCCACCCTCACTGTGCTATATACACTCAGCTCTGCTTGGAACAGCACCTGCCTCTCTCTGTTCTGTTTACTGAGGCACCTGGCCATTCCAGGTGGGACGTCCTCTGAGGTGGACGGACGGCACCTGGTCATCCCCACTCATCACCAGGCACCTCTTGTGACCAAGAGTGTCTTCAATGCAGAGTCACACCAGTCTGTTCCCAGGCAGACCCTGGTCAGCCCAGGTGCTCTGTATGACGGCTCACAGGGACCCCATGCTCCCAGGTAGAGTCCCCACCTTTCTGTAGAGCATCTAGGAAGCCCCACCTTCCAGCTGGTGCCATTTCTGGACCTACTTCTCAGACTCTGCAGCAAGTAGCCAGGGTTGCGAACCAACAGAAATCATGTCCCTGAAACTGTGGACACTGCAGAGTGAGTCCACTGAGTCCCCAACCCTTGGCCATGGCCCACAGGGCACACCCCCTTCCTGCCTTACCTCGAAATACATGCCCCTCCTTTCCAGTGGTGGAGCCCTTTGCCCCTCCAATTGCCCTGCAGGCACTGGGGATACAGAAGGCTGAGGCCTGGCCTGCGGGAGTGCCTGGTCTAGCAGGGTGTAGGGAGTCAGACGCGGGTGTTTGGCTGTCACGGATGCCTATGCACTGCCTCCACCTGGCCCACCCTCATCCTCGCCATGGCTGGTCTCCCTGAGCCCCTCTTCCCCTCCTGCAGGATCATGTTTAATGGGTACAGACACTTCTGTTCACCAGACGAGACATTGATTGGGTGCAAAAGTGGGGGTCGGGGAAATAGGACAGCTCTGTGTCTTAA